TACTTTTGCGTTACATATGGAGCATCACCCGCTCGAAAGTGCACATACTTTTGCTAGTGGTTTTCCCAAAATTTGCACCTAATCAATAACTTGATTCGAAACCGTTCTCTCTCCAACTTTACCTCACTTATGATCCTTATGTAATTTCGTTGGCAAAATGATCTAACGGCAGATTCGAACCATGGTTAGTTGCTCAGCTGCCACAATTCTACATACTGATCTATCATCTCATCACTTGACAGGCTTGTGAAAGTCTTGAAGATGATTGCGCATTATACTTTTTCCAATCAATTGTTTCCCCTTCGCCTCTTGGAGCTTCACCTGACGTTGTCTTTAGGTGATCTCTGCTGAGGGAACTGTATTACGAGCCTATAACTAACGGCGCTAGTTGAAAGCAACAGGATATCTAAATGTGGCTACATCTAAGTGCCTTAGGATCAAACGATAAGTTCTCGGTGCTAACCAATCCTCTATCGTGGATTAGTTGTCCGCTTGAGCTAAGGGAAAGTGAGTTGGAAACTTCTCGGTGGTAATGGGGCCTTTACTAATATCGGGAGCCCAACGTAATAGGGGTTAGCACCTGACGTCAATGTTTCCATTCTCTTCATGATATAGCAATCTTGGTGACAGAAGCAACAATTTCTAGAAGGTTTTCTAGAAGGCCAAATTCCAACCAAACCTCGGATTTGCGACAACTTTAATGTGTGAGATGTCCATGATGAAAACGACCGATTTACCCTGTATGCAAAGATTTGTAACATATTCATACGGGATGTGCTGCGCATTCGCAGCAACTGTTGGACTAATCGACTCGCATAGCGACAAAGTCTCATGAGTCGTGCCCAAAGCTTCTGAGAACGCGCGCAGTTTTAAATGCGACCTATTCGCATGCTTAAAGCTCTTGCCTTAGTTAATGAATACACCGTTAGGGTATATCTCCGGACAACCTTCTTCGCAGTAGTATCTCAGCCACTAGTCACCAAGGTTGTTATCATTGTACAGTGTGATGCTACAATGCAGACTATCTGCGCTACTATCTGAGCAGCGACTCTCTCTCTCTTAAACTGTTTGACTCTGGCAATAACGACTCTTCAATAGGCAACCTTACGTCATCGTTAGATGGTCCGAGCAGGTAGAGGCTTTCTATGAAAATAGTATTGTGATCATACCAGCATGATAGTTATCACCACTCAGTCCATTGTTCTTATTTATACGTTAGTTGTACCACTGCTAAAATGTCCGCTTCCATATTGTTGTTGTATAGATAACGAACATCCTCTCGAAGGAAAGTGCATCTTCCAATATTCTCAAGCGATAGTTCTCCAACATCAAGCTTACAAACATGTGGTACTGTAAGCAG